TGGCCGGATCTCAGCTTACTGCAAGCTCCGCCTCCCGGGTTCCCGCCATTCTCCTGCCTCAGCCTCCCGAGTAGCTGGGACTACAGGCGCCGCCACCTCGCCCGGCTAGTTTTTTGTATTTTTTAATAGAGACGGGGTTTCACCGTGTTAGCCAGGATGGTCTCGATCTCCCGACCTCGTGATCCGCCCGTCTCGGCCTCCCAAAGTGCTTGGATTACAGGCTTGAGCCACCGCGCCCGGCCTATCTGAGACTCTTAAAGGGAAATATTGTAGTTATAGAAAATTACAAAAATAGTAACATATTTCCACTTGGCTTGCAAATGTAACTGTATGTGCTATATATTTTTAAAGGAGTATCAATAGGTATTGAATTCAATTCACTTGATATCAGATGGCTTACTCTCAAAGACGTGCTATCAAGAATTATTACTACATTAGTTGGGTTATGTTAGCAGAGGCCATGGTGCTCCTGTATCTTTCTGCTAACCTCCCATACAAATGAACTTCTCTAAAATTACCTTTGAAATTTGGTTTTGGAAGAGAACTTGGAAGTCATCTGGTGGCAGGTTCAAAGTCATGCACCTGGGCAGTGGCAGAGACAGCACAAAAGCCAGGTCCCCAATTGTATTAATAATTCCAAGGTGTTTTCCATCCACTGTGAATTCCCTCTCTCCATCATGATGCTCATTTATTGTTAACTTTTCAAGGTTAGGCTGCATATTGTTTGGTATATGTTTAGATCTCTCTTCCAAATCTATATAAATGCTGTGTAGAGGAAACAGGTGTTCTACATATTTTTACGTGATAAATTTAGACAGTTTGCAGGTTATCTGCAAGGCTGAGGGGAAGTGGGTAGGGTGTTATATACAAGTAGAAATTTGTAATGGGAGTAATATACAAAAAAGATGAAATGGATAAAGTTCCTAGAGGATAGTCTGTAACTAGTGGTGTGCTATTTGAATGATAAGCCCTTCTAGGAGGAAAAATAATAAATTGTAAAATGGGCCTAATTAAGACTGAAAAAGCGAATGAATAAACAAGTTTGATAAAAGATTGATATACTTTAAGTTCACTGTATTACAGTTAAAATGTAAGGAGACGGCCTTATCTTCAAACTCTGGGGTAGATAATGTAAATTTCTGTAAGATTGAGCTAAAGATTTTTATTTCCACTTTATTTTGAAATAGGCTGGGAGAGAGAAGGTTTATGTAAACACATGTACTCTTTACATAAGTGACAGAAAAGCAGAAAAGAAAAATAACTCAAGGCAGTTCAGAGGAGGCTATTATGATTACACAACCTGCCTCCAAAGGACTTTTAAAAGCAATAGGAATAAGAATTTGGAAAAAATTATTAAAATTCATTGTTTTAGTGAATTCAATTGAGTCCAAAGAAGTCAAAACTTTCAGCTCTTCATGGGTAAGATAGCTTATGAGGTTTGGAAGTAAGAAAGAGGAAAAATAATGGAATCAATTTCATTGGGTTGACATGAGGCAGGATGGTATACAGTGTGGGAAGGGAAGAAGAAAGGAGAGGTAATCTATTTCACACAAGTAAAACTTGCAAAATGCACACATATCATATTTTAATAATTTGTCCCTATAAACATTATATTAGAAAATATCCTCCTTTCCCTGTTTCTCTGAGAAACAAACCTAGGAAGAAGAAGCAAGAGCCACTTAGCAATACTAATTGCCCTTGCTCATCCTTTGGCATCCAAATGAGGTTGTATTAAGCTAATGAATCTATGACCCTGTAAACCTAAGGCAAATGAATAATGCTATTTGGTCTTTCTTTCACTTTTTAATTTTTATTGGTTTGTTTTTCGATTGTCTGCAGAAACAGAAATGCAGGTAGTGTTGTTCAGAAGAATGATTTTCCTTCCCAAATGGTTCAGAAATACACCTACTTTTCCCACCTTGAATTCTGACTGGATTGAATGCTTCCTGATAAGTGCTGGTCGTTTCAAGATATGCAAAGTATTTAGGGGCCAATAGGGAATGGTTATGAGTCCCTTGATGTAACAAGGACTTTTTAATTAGAAAAAAACAAAACAAAACCAACCAACCAAACAAAACACCCAAACAACTGTTCGACCCTTTCAATTTGAATAAGAAATTCTTGCTATAGGAGAAGTAATAACAAGCACAAAACTCTTTACCCTTATCCTTCCAGGAGCTTATTATTCTCTGATTTGCAATTCCTTTATTAAAAAGGATTTCCTTTCAAATGCTTTTGGTGAAATTGCAGTCTCCAACAGTTATGTTTTCTGTCTATTTAGTTGATTTCAGTTATCTTAAAAAAAGAAAGCATGGTTACAGTAAAAGCACAGTGTGTTCTGGAACTAGTAATTGACTGACCTGATCAGTTCAAACAAAGCATTTTTCTTTCTCAATTGATGGTGGACCCTAGGTGGCAAATTTTAGAACCAATATATCTCAAAGTGATGGCTTACTGAACCCTCCTGGCACTTAGAATGTTGGCACAAAAAGTCCTACCTTGCAAAGTTCTTACCTCCAAGAAAGATGATGTCCATTCTAAAACATTACTCAGAAACAAGCTGGTTTAGATATTCTAAATTTCTATATACACCATTGCTGTCCCTGGGACTGCCAGTTTGCATGGAAACACATCTTGTGGCATAATATCCCACCATTCTGAAGACTTTTTCAGGAATACCAATACTTGGGAGAAATGTATTTGAGAACATTTAATTACCAGACTCTTTTAAGTTTAATTAGCACATATCACACATATCCCAAATACATACATACATATATATATATATATGTTTTTTCTTTATCTCTCTCTCTTTTTTTTTTTTTTTTTAAAGACACAGAGTCTCATTCTGTTGCCCAGGGTAGAGTGCAGTGGCATGATCATAGCTCACTTGAACTCCTGGGCTTAAACGATCCTCCCACCTCAGCCTCCCAAGTAGCTAGGATTACAGGTGCATGCCAACATGCCCAGCTAATTTTTTTTTTTTAAATAGAGACAGGCCTTGATATGTTGTCCAGGCTGGTCTCAAACACCTGGCCTCAAGTGATTCTCCCACCTTGGCCTTCCAAAGTGCTGGAATTACAGGCATGAATCACCATGTCTGTTCAAAAAGACTAGTTTCAAATCCCAGTGTATAACAATATTTCTCTTTGCCTTTAAAAAATAATGACATGGTTACCTCTGGATCTTTCAGGAATGACTCAGTCTGTTGGTGTTATCAATCATTTACTGTCTCTTCCTTTATTCTTTCCCATCATTTGGACATTTGGCTGTTTACCCTGATCAAACCCATCCATTCACTTCTATTCTTAATAGAAGTTCTGGGAAACTGGAAGGGAACAAATTAGAAGCTAAAGCTATTGGTGCAAATAAAGCTTTGGATTACCTGTGGATTTTGAATATCTCTTCCATTCCTGACCCCCTCAATGGCATGAATAATTCAGTATCTGAACATATGAATAGCCATGAATGACTGATAAAGACAATTCTCTTTATGATGCAGTTCAAGGAGCAGCTTGCTACAGTTTCCGTTTCTGCTGGTGCACTATTCCCAAGCCCCACAGGCTTGCAGCCTTCTCATCAGCTGCTGTCCCTTTCAGTGGGGTAGGGGGATGAGGCAGTGATCACAGACACCTGGCTATGGCTTGCAGCAGAGTTACACAACTGCACACACAAAATGGCAGAGAAAGAGCAAGAGCTAAAAAGATTCTGGTTTGGGCCCAAATCACTAGTCATTTCACTTCATGAAGAAAAGCAAATACCTTATAAGCTTACATTATTTACAATGCTCAGATTTTTTGAACATTCACCCAAAGCTGAGGACCACCACGCAACAGGGAACAGTTCAATGAACTATGTACAGAATTTACAAGGAAGTTTACATAATAGTCTACATTCCATTAGCAAATTTATCTTTATGTTCACTGCTTGCTTTCAGGAAACAGATATATTTGTTTGTTTTTCTGTCCCCCTCATCCCAATAATGCTGATTGAACCACCATGAACAAATGCTTGTACATTCCTTTTTTCTCCCTCCCTCGGATATATGATTTACTTTGTTTAGGAAAGACAATGGTGACACATCACCCTTTGGTAAGATACTATTCAAAATTGTCCATATAAGAAATCTTGGAGATTATTTCCTTCTAGAAGTATTATAAATATATCTTTTTTTGTTTAACTTGGCAAATTGTAATTGAATTCTTTCTTAATATTTATAAAATAGTCATTGATTTTAGAAAGATGGAATTTAGTCAACATTTCTATGTATTGTACATAATGCTTTTTAAGGAACGTCTATCCTTGGACCCTTAAACCAAAGTTTATTCTCTGCACCACATTTTTTTCTCTTTGCATTTTCAAGACCCTTTGTTGATTATAATGCACAATAAAGATGGCGTGTATGAAAACACATATCATTCAGTTGGCAGAATTACCAACCAATCTGCTGTTTCTATTTGGCAATGTAGAAAACAGAGGCAATAATCCTGGATAATTCAAGCCAAAAATATGTCTTGACCTGGATCTTTGCTTCACAAAACTGGTAAGTATAATGCACATGCCACCCCTAATATTTTAAGCCGAGGAACATGATTGGAAGGAATGAGTATGCAGTCATCACTGTCCAGTGAAAGATGGAATTTCCATGGGGCTTTCACAAGTGAAGTTTATGACACAGTTTATGTCACAGTTTCTGAACTATAAACGTGGGGTTACTTGGACATGACTTGGACATCAGAGAGTGGGTCTGTGTAACTTTCAGCCTCTTCCTCAGCTTAAGTAATGCAGGGGATTATGGCTATTTTCATGGCAAAAAGAAAACCCCAGTAGTGATTGAATAATAATCCCTCTATCATGTAATAATCTGAATCTTTCAACAATGGGGCCAGTTTTGAGGGCACTTAAGAATGTCCAACAACATTTATGTTTTATGTACATGATTTTGGGCAAGACAAGAGAGACAGCCAGAGAAGGAAGTTTTTTTTTTTTTTTTTTTTTTTTTTTTTTCCTATTCACTGTTCAGCCTGAAAGGGGAGGATTTGGCTAGGAGTGGAGCCAAGGAGGGAAGACTTTGGCCTAGAGGTGTCCAGAAAGAAGTGGGGACAGAGGTCTTTAACCGTAAATATTAGCAGCTTCTCCATTCTTCTGGCTGCCATTGCGTCTAAAATCAGCTATTTAACAGGATTTGCATAATGCTGACTGTGGCCCCTCTACTGACCAGGAGGGCATATGGTGACGCCATTTTGTGCCTGATGGGTAGATTCAGGCTTAATAAGTTTACATTTTACAAAGGTTAAGATATGAATTCAAAATGTTCTCTTTTTTTCTCGAAGATGCTTTACATCTAAAACTACAGCATCAAAATCGTTAGATTTTTAAAGGCAAGATAAAAATATAATAAAAATACAAATATTCTCAATCTTTCCCAAGAAGAATAATCTAAATAGATAAAATAAATTGTTTGTTAAGGAACATAGATTACAGATACTTCCTTTCTGATTTAGCATTTCATTCTTAAAAGCTTTTAAAAGAGCTTTGACACCCAGAATGATTCATTTTTATTAGGCATCAGCTAACAATTTTCCTTCCTGTGTTTAAAATAAATGGCTGCACAGTGGTTCCTTTGTCGTCATTACGGAATATTAACCTTACAATCACTGACGTGGCCACATGCCACTCTATTTGGCCATTTTATGATGGCAAAGCATCTCACCCTGCCAAGGGACTAAAGAGTTTCAAAATGGATGACTTCATGCCCTAAGGCTGGGGATTTCCTTGACCAGGAAAGCGTGATAATACAACTAAAAATCTAAATAAAAATATGGTCCCTATAACCCCACTATTTTCTCATGAAACCATTGAGATCATTTTTTCTAGTTAAAGCAGAGTTTTTGTACATATATTATCTTTAGCCTTAACTATCATTTATTTTGAGGTTCCCTTTTCCTCTTGCTTTCTAAAAGAATATCTTTACTTTCTCCCCTTCAGCTCATCAGTAAAAATTCAGCATCATCTGTCCAGTGAAGTCTGTAACTTCCAGAAGCTGATGCTATTTTAAACATGGACCCTCATCACAGTCTTAGGGAAAAAGTTAGATCATTAAGCCAGGCCATTGTCCCTATTGCTGCCTCAACCCTTATTTCACACTCATGGGTCAGGTCCCAAACCTCCTGCATCACCGTTTGGTTAGCTTACAGTTTCATTCAGTCTTGCAAATGAACACACAGAATTCTTAGATATTAAGGCTGAAAAATAAAAGGACAAGGTTTCAATGACATAACATGGGAAGAATCTCAACTGTAGCTGGTTGGACATGTTTAGAATTATGTTGGGCTACTGAAGGATGCCCCTTCTATGAGAACCATGGCCAAGAGTAATCCACAAGCAGAGATAAGGCAGAGGAGCAATGACAGTGATTAATGAGTGTAGACAGGGTCTGTTCTTTAGGGACTCGTGCACGTGTTGGAAGCTCCACTGCTTTTGTCATTGCTCTTGTTTTTATCTGTAGTTCTGCTATTTTCAAGATTTTCTTTAAAATGGAAATCTGGTCCTGAAGGGGAATGACACCAACATGGGTGTTTGTGTATTTTCCAAAGCATTAATTCCAGTCTGGAATGCAGAGCTCAGAGAGCAGAGCCATAAAGTGGCAGCTGAGGCCTGTGTGACTAGCCTGTCACCATTGGATACTGCTCTCTAGAAGGCAAAGAAATATATACTATTTGATTTAAGATTTGGCAGTTCAGATAACTGCCCAGGCACCCTTTTCACAGCACATAAATCTTGCCTTCCTAATGGCAAGCGCAATATTTTTCTCAAGCAAAAATTGCTCACCATCCCCTTCCTCCCACACTCTCTGGAGCAGGAACTATGGAACTGGGGTGGCATGGCTTCCTGGCACAGCATCAGGGGGTTCCAGACTGATGAGATGAATTCAGGGCTGCATGTTTGAAATGGCCAGTTAGAAAAATGGTCATTCCCTCCCATTGCCTCCTTATTCTCAAGAAGAAAAGAAAAATGTTCTCAATGGCTACCAGGTCGACCAGGTTGGATTCTAATGTTAATTTAAAATTTGCCGGAAAGTCTGAGAAAGAAGCATGTTTCAGAATATCCAGCTTAATGGTGCGGTGAAGATGGCAGGTTGGGATTGTGTAACCTTGACTAGCACTTGCCCTTCCTTTCCTCTTCTATGGAGCTGTGGAGCCCTTTTACAACGGACACGGGAGAACTTAAGGATAGAAGGGACTCTTCTTTCCCTTTCTAAGCTCCTTTCTCTGTTGCCTTCTTCCTGGAAATCTGTAACTTATCAATGGCTTTGTTTTTTTCTTCTGAGATCCTGGAAATTGTTTTTTTGTTTTTTGTTTGTTTTTTGTTTTTTTGTTTTTGTTTGTTTTTTTTGGGTTTTTTTTGGCAGCATAAGATTGTTACAGTTTACCAGGAAGTAGCGCAGGTGGACAGCAAGGTCCTCTTTTCATTTTCCCTAAAAAATAAATCAGTAAAATTCAGGGCAACTAGAAAAGACTGCTAAAGATCTACCTATTTAACTTCTCTCTTTTTGTTTGTTTGTTTGTAAACATGGCAATTAATAGAGCTCTTACAGAGCCGATAACCTGGACCAAGGTAGACTGGAAAAAAATATTTTTTTTTGTTTTGTCTTTTTGAAGTAAACATGGTGCAGTAATAAAACTGATATGCAAGACCTAAAACCAATTGGATGGCTGAATCTCTTACCTCAAGAAACAGCAGTATCGCTGTTGGGGACCTGTAAGGTTAAAAAACAATAGAAGAGGAAAGTAGTCTAAATGGAACCATTAGAACAGACCTCAGTGTACATAGTAAAGCCAATAAACGACATTAAAAAGAGAAAAAGTGATGGGGAAAAACATTCGGGACCACTTGTCTATGGAATTCACGTCAGTCAAGTCGGGGATCTTGACTTTGAGCTGGGAGGCGCGCCTGCGGATGCGCCCCTTGCTGGGCACCCCATGCCGGTCCAGGGTGCGCCCATAGGCCTCACGGCTGCTCAGAGGCTTGCGGTACTGGATGCTGGCGCTGTCATAGGAGTACATGGTGGCCTTGGGGTCACTCACGCTCGTGAGCACTTCCGAGCCACTCGTCTCATTCCGGATTTCCAGGGTGCTGAGGAGAATGTTACCATGGGCATCGACCTGATGGCAAAAAGAACAGGCTCCGACACAAGTTGCAGGACCTTTGCCTATTTTCATTAACCTGTTACTAATGATACCCCATAAGGCTCATTAAACATTGTCTCCCTAAACATCTGGCTTGATGTGCCTCCCGTGTGGAGTCATCTATCTATCTATCTATCTATCTATCTATCTATCTATCTATATCTAATCTATCTATCTGTCTGTCTATCTCTCTATCTCTCTTATCTCTCTATCCATCCATCCATCCATCCATCCATCCATCCATCCATCCAGCCAGCCAGCCAGCCAGCCAGCCAGCTGGCCATGCATCTATCTACCTTATCTGTCTATCTATCTATCTATCTATCTATCTATCTATCTATCTATCTATCTATCTATCATCATCCATCCACCTTGCTTGTTTTCCAGCTGTCATCTGTCTCCACTCACAGAACACTAGTGTGTGTGTGCGCATGTGTGTATTTCTTCTTGTTATAAAAGTGGTACATGGAAACAAAGCTAGAAACACAAAACAAAAAGTAAAAATTCATAATCCCACCTTCAGAGTCAATCATTAACATCTCGCTTGACTTCCAGAATTTTCTCTATTCATATATACTTACAAACACAGGTTCATTCATATATTTTGTCTTGCAACCTGCTTTTCTCAGTTAATAATACAGCCTGGGCATCTTTCCTTGTTAATGAATATTCCTCTGTGACACGCTTCATTAATAGCTTACATGAGTAAACCACAATTGAATTAATCTCTTGTTAGATGTTAAGGTTTGTTTTACTTTTGTAGTCTTACAGACAAGTCTAGAAGGAATATTTTCTAGTTAAATCTTTGTGCATATCCATAATTATTTCCTCAGGTGAAATTGACAGATATAATTAATGGGTCAAAGGATATGCCTGGCTGTCCTTTGACTTTTGTTCCTCGACTGTTGTTCACAAATGCTTCCTGCAGTTCCAGTGATACCTATCGCAGGTTTCCTGGTTCTTCTCTATGTTATGCCCACACATACTCCTTTGGAACTACAGAAAATGTGAGCATAGTTTAGCTCAGGATGTGACCTTGTTTAACTTCAAGCTGATATACTTTGCGAACTGATTTACCTGGAAGGGACGTGACTCATACATGAAAATGAGCTTGAAGTACTTCCAAGGCCAGTAGAGGGAGCTGTGCTAACATGTGTATTAGCATAGTACCTGACTTACAGTAAGGGTTCTATAAATGCTTTTGAATGAGATTAATCTTAGTAAACACCTAACACACTAGGTATAGGTAAGGAGGCAAAAGAGCCTGGCAAAGAAGAGATAGAGAAAAACATGGGTGGCAAATACAAACAAGAGAGAAAGAAAAGAAAGGGACAGAGGATAGATAGCACATGATGGTACAACCGTAGTACAGTTTAAAGAACTAAGATTTATTGAGTTTCCACCATGAGTCTAGCATATATATTACTTGTTTAATACAGCAACCCTATTTTAAAAGGCCATCCATCCCCATTTTATAGATAAGGCAACTGAGATTTAGAACAGTTAACAATCTGGCTCGTTTACTCAGCTAGTAAGTGCCAGCCCTGATATTAGAACCTATGTGTATCTGATTCAAAGCACTTTCTACTGGGAGGACCAGGTCATAGTCCTTGGCCTTTGTTACACACCATAGGAAATTCAGTGATGCATTTGTTAGCTTTAAGATTTGAGTTGGCTGGAGAGAGAAATGGCAACTGACTCTGGTTTCTGTCATCTCTCTCTCCTTTTTTATCTATCATTATTTCCCTCTGTGAAGCATTTTGCTTCGGTCTAATTGGGCTACCCACATGCCCTGACCATATACCTCTATTGGTGGCTTTATTCAGGGAGTTATTATTATTATTATTTTGTTGTTAATAACTACTATTTATTGAATTCTACTGTGTAATTTATCTCAGTAATTCCAGTATTTCAGTAATTGAATCTTACTGAGCAATTTACCTTAGTTATAACAACACTATGACATATATGTTATCCTAATTCAGCAGACAGGGAAACCAAGGCTCAAAGAAGTTAAGTAAATTAAACAATAAGATTAAACAGCAGTACCAAATTTGGGATTAAAACACAGAATATTCTTTGTCTCAAATATTATTTTCTCTCTCTTTGTATGTTAATCAAATCCACCTGTTTTGGCCAAGCCTCAATTTAAATCCTGTTTTCTTTGTGTGCCTTTGTACTTTGCCTGCCCACAGTCACCTCCAAAACTTTCTCCCAACATTTATTGAGTGCTTACTGCGTGAGAGATAAAGTGTTAGGTGTCAAGGATATATGCTGAGCACAATGAGCGTCCTTACCATCAAAAACCCTTAGCACTGACTTTTACAACAGAATTTACAAACTCGGCCACCTACAGGGACCAAGAAGCATGACTGAGTAGGGCCAGGTGAGAGTAAGTAATTGAGTGAAGTTAGGGAATGGTGATGCCTATGGGGCCTTGGAGAGCAGATGTCTAAGGAGGAGACTGCAACTCAGCTCCGGTTGACAGCTACACTGAATGGACTAGACCCTAATGTTGCCAGATCACCCCCTTTACCAGAAAACCTGAACATATTGATTTTTATTTTGTCTTCCCTTAAAGTTGGCTCAATAGTGTAAAAATGATTTTCCGGTCAGATGAAACATATCTGTGTCCAGATCTGACTTTTGCACTTTTGCATAGCCAGTTAGGGATCTGGTTTTTTTTTTTTTTTTTTCCATTCACATATCCTTTAGCATATATTACTTTGTGTTGATGTTGACTTTAGGTTTCAGTCCTATTTTCCCAACCAGAGCTATTGGGGTGCTCAGGGGCTACATAATGAGGGCCTGGACTAGGACAATGTAGCAGAAAGAAAAGGAAAACTACACTAAAGAGGAGCTTTTGAAAAATGTTTAAAATAGAAATGAAATTGATTTGGCAACTGATTAGATTTGTAGCACAAGGAAGGGAAGGTGATCTGGAAACTGTCAGCCTGTTAGGCTGAAAGGATTACATTGTCATCAGCGAAATGGGGTGTCTGGTGTGTGTTGCGTGTATAGGGTGAAAAAAAAGAGTTTGCTGTTTAGGTTGAATTTGTGATATATGTTAGGCATCCTTGTGGTGGTGTCCAGCAAGTAATGTATATGTGATGATGACTGGGATAATGTTGGGGCTGAGATTATTTTAGGAGTGGGAGGCACCTATGCAGTCAGTGAAAGAGACACAGAGAAACTATAGAGGTAGAGAACAAATAACAGAATGCTATGAAGAGAAACTCAAGGAGGGAGAAGGGTATCCAGAAGGAGAGAATGGTCAATAGTGTTTCAGAGAGAACAGGGGGAATGAAGAAGGCTCACAGATTTATCAGTAAGACCATTTGTGGTCTTAGAATAAGAGCTGAAGCAGAACCTGAATTTCAACGGATTAAAGACTGAATTGGTAGCAAGGAGGAGAAGGGAGTTTATATGGACTCTCCTTTTCAAAAGTTTGCAGGTCAAAGGAAGAAAAGAAATAAAAACATTAGCTCAAACATATCAGGATAGTGTGTCAAGTGAAGCTGGAAGAGACACAGTAGACAGGAAAAGGAGAAGGATTGAGGATGGCAAATTCTATGGGAGTGAGTGAGGAAGTCAAAGATATGGAAGGATAACAGGCTACATTCAGAAATGGGAATTTTACACATGGAGATATGGGAGGTAGAATATTTCTGAGCAATGGGAACATGTACTAATGTTTGCTTGAGACTTGAGGCCAGGTGACGGTGAAGGTCGTTGGGAATAATGAGCTAGATGCAGTCTCTGTCCTCTACTGTATGTCTATAATTGAAAAAGTCATGTACATGAAAGTTGACATTACTGAGGATGGTAGGGTTGAAGTGATGAGGACCAAAATGCTTGAATTCCTTAAAGGAGGGAGAAGTATGTTATAAGATAAGGACTGGAGCACATGATTTTGTTAGGTACTTTGGAATAGCTAAGATAATCACAAAATATGAATTTTGTCCATAAGAGATCATTACCTTCTTAGAGATATATGAGTGAAGCATAATATTGGGAGTGACAAGTTTTCAATCAAATTCTAAATAGCATAATATATATCATGATTAGGGATTCATCAAAGTGAGAAATCACTGGGGGGGTCACAGAAGCTTTCTTGTAATAGCGGGGCTTGCATTGAGTTTTAAAAGATGGGTAGAGGACAGAACAAAAATTGAGAGTTGAAAGCTATGTTATTATTCTAGTTTTATTATCTACTCAGAAATGGCCTTGGATAAGTCTGCGTCTCAGTTCTGTTATCCATAAATGGAAGGTTTTCATTAGGTAATCTCAAGGGTTGGCTTTCAATCGTTGACAGTTTTTGATTATGGAGAACATTCCAGGTGGAGGACATAGCATTCTGAAAAAATGCTTGTAAAATGGAATCATGTGATCTGCATTCTATGCATCATTAAGTTACATTATTATGAATCTTTCTAAGTAAACAAAATTGCTAGAATTTATCGGCTAGTGAAGCATACAGATGCTCCTAATTAAACAGAAGTCAGGGTTAACAAGGTACATTTTATTAACCTATGTTGGTTAACCTTGGTGCAGATTCATGTGTGCCTAACAATTGCATGAAGTTTACCAGTATGTGCAAATCCCTCAATATTCTCTGTCACTGAGCTAGAAATCATAGCATTAAGTGGTTTGACATTTAAGATAATGGATCTAGTTTTGCAACTATCCATGAAAGCTGATTTCATTACTATAGAGTTACATCAACATTACCATGTTATTTTTCAGGAAAATTTTTAAAGTAGCTATATAACAATTCTTGCCCACTTCCATTTTCTTTCTTACCCAGTGTAGGACTTGTCCTAAAGGCTGATGTTAACAGACTGTCTATGTGTGTGTGTGTGTGTGTGTGTGTGTGTGTGTGTGTGTGTACATGCTCATGCATTTCTTCTACAGTGTGATACTTTACCCTCACCCTCCAGCTTTCTGCTGTCGGGTAAGGTATACATGTGGTAGCC